TATTATGCCACTTGGGCGACCATTCGCTCGGTTTTAAGTTTGCCAAATAAGTGTTGTGCGAAATATGCGAAAATGAAACGATGGCATAAATTTCCCTGTTCGGTAGAATCATCATTATACGTAGGGGACCATATTCGTGGATTTTGTGGGTCACCCTTACCCACGAATTTACATCCCCTCGAACGTTCATTTTGTTAACATAATTATTGATTCATTGAACCATCATATTTACGAGTAACCCACGAAATTTAACCCCACGAACAGGTCAACTTTTGCTTACCAACGAACATCGACCCTAACGAATTAAAATGATTCCTCAGTATACAGAATCAGGCGGGTGCAAGATAAAATATTTTTTTCTACTTTGTACCAACTGGATTCCGTACACCTGAGTTCACCTTTGCAAACAAATTAATCAGCCCGAAAAAAGTACTTTTAATTCCATGGACAGAGTTCAAAGATTTACATTATTAAGTTTTAGCATAAAACGGTGCCTATTAAATAAAGTTGTCATTTTGCAATTCTTAACAAAAATTTAAAGAAATTATAATTCTTTTCAATCACTGAGTTTGCATGTTTTTTAAAATCCACCTATTTTAAACTACATACAATTAGGTATCTTTAACCATTATTATTTTTTAATGTAGGCAGAGCAATGTCATTGTCATCAAACACAACCTCGTATAAGGTCAAATTCTGACTGCAATTATTCAAAATGGTTGTTTTTTTTACCAACTGTATTCTCAAATGTGCATACAGCGGGTGTGATCAGAGGGCAAAAGATGCTCGCTCCTCCATGGCATCCATATCTGATGTGTTATGTTCAAGGGTGTCATATTGTGATTTGACAGTTGTGTCTTGTAACTTGAATACTGTTTATTATTTCCATATTTCATTGATAGAATGTATCATACCCCGCTCTGATTTTTGATTTGTCAGTAATGTCTTTTAACTTGAATATTGTGTGTTATGCCATGTCAATTTATCATTCATAGAAGGTACGCAGCACTGTTAAGGCCTACTATGAGAAATCAACGGAAAATAGACGTGCAAAAAAGAGGGACTTTTTTTAAAACTGAATTTATTTTAATTAAGCTGTTTTATTATCACAGAACTCAAATACTTATGGAAAAAGCATAGTATAAACCACTCCGTACTGTATGAAGTTTGGTCCCAACGATGGACAGTCACGTGATAAATGCAGAGTTCGTGTACTGAATGTAGGTCATGAACAAATTTCAATATAGCAAGGGCATACCCTAGTTGAAATTAAAAATTCAAGCTATCAATTGTTTCTGCATACTTTGTAGTTTCTGAAAAGTGCTGCTGCTTTGAATAGAATTCGCGTTTTAATAGTTAAATTTGCAGGTAAATGAGCCAATGTCGAAATATGTTTGACTTTTACCAAATATTTTGTGTACTTATAAAACCACGCCCTTGATTTAAAGAAAGCAGCAGCACTTTTCAAGTTAAGAGAAATATCCTTTATCGATATTCAAAAAATGGTTAAGATCTATTTAGTGTATGCCCTTGCGAAAGTACGATTTTATTAGGCATCTCATTGTAAAATATACGTAACCTGCACATAAAAACACGACATAATTAATAAAATACATTCTCTTGATAGTTAATGAATAATCGCACTTAACAAAGGATATACATTGGTATTATCGACTTTTAAAACCTGATAAATAATATTCCGTTTAATAATAAAACGCATTTTTCATTGTTAAAAAATTCCTCAATCTGCCTCTCACAGCATATGAAATACGTCATTTTTACCAAAATAACGTCATGTTTACAAGTTCATCGCGATCAGTGCTTTGTCTATAACCAGCTACATGGGATTTAACTTGTAAGTTTTTTAAATGCATTGATAAGTTTTATTGTTGTTTATTATGCTAATACAGTTAAAAGTTGTAAACTATTTCATTTTTAGGTATAATAAGAAATACATAAAAGTCATAGTTTTGTGTGACGTCACAGTAAACTTTTCCCGTATAAATTAGGCCCCTACCTCTTATTCAAGCCTTAACAATGCTGCGTAGTGTATCTCCCTATGTAATATAATTTGATAGTGTGATAAATGCAAATAATTCATACTGCATGGAGGTAATATACAAATTCAAATTTGGCAAGGACATACCCACATTTATCTGCAGTTTCTTGAAAGAGCTTTCGAATTTAATAGAATAAGAAGAATTAGTTTGAAGGCTGAATAATATGACGTACTCGATTAAATGAGAACAGTAGCAAACTTGAAAAAGGGATAAGTACTGTATCAATATTAAAACATGTTAATACATACATGCATTCTAAAACGGCACAATCCACCTTTATAGATTCATTTTTTAATAATATGATGCCTTTTCTCGTTTAAAAAATATCTGTCTAAAATGCATCTTAGAAAGGCAAGATTATATGAGCATTTACGAAATTCAATTTACAATTGAGGATAATATAATAACATTATCTTTATTTATGTATGCCTAAAAAGTAGAACTGTGTAAGACTTTAAATAGGAGTAGTAAAGAATTAATTCCGCTGACGACAAATGCACCTGCAAATTCTTATTTTCTTTAACAACCATTCGAGCATAGTCTTGATTTGTTCAGATTTGCATACACATGCTTGATAGTTTTCGTCGTTGAGTATATCAACTTATTTTCATATAAATACCAAGATTCCAAGAAACATGCTTTCTCAGTAATTGTGCTCAGTGCAGCATAAAGCTCATATTATATAAAAGCAATTCTGCGAGTTCTATCCGTACTTTCGAACTTACTTAGCTTCACAATGGAAACCTGTCCAACACCCTGTGTGCCACAGTCGCACATTTATGCGGACATAGATTTCAATGTTCGTTCCCTGTTGTTGATTTTGAGTGGTATGTCAACGACTGAAGAAGGCGACATCCTAGAACTAGAAGATATTTATCAGTTGAGAGAAGACCTTGAGGTTCTGATACGGAACGTATCGTATTATCATCCGAGAATACAGGAACTCCATGAGAGGATTTTGTCGTTGAAAACAACGGTTGATCAATTTACAAAACAAGAAATCAGTATAGAAGAAAGGGTCAGATCTCAATATCAGCTGCACTGGGATGAAACGAAAGACAAATTCACGGATGTGTCAAAAGTTTGCAGCAAAGAGCGGGAACGAATCGAAGAACTTGAGAAGAATGAAATCAGGTATGCTTTTAATACTTAAAAGAAAACATTATTTTGAGTTCAATGTGAAGCGCAAAATAGGCTTTAAAAGAAAATCCAACCTTTACCCGGTCACAGTTTTATGAACAAATTTCAAGGGTTGATATTCAGCACTTTTCTTCATTTTTAATTATTGCAAATACTGTAGAAACTATACAAAAAATGACATCTGCTTTACAGATATAAAAGTGCATTGGAAAATAAAAATATCAGAATAAAGTCACTAGAAGAAAAGGTTGCCACCCTGTCAGAGAGCAATGAAAAATTATCGTCCACAGTTAGCCAAATGAGAGAGGTTTCTGCTTAAATTAAATATATTCATTCACATTGTATTTATTTTAATATTTGAATTTGTATTCTCAAAACTAACATATACCAACAGTAATACAATTGTACAATTAAATGATCACCTTTTACAGTGGAATGTAACATTTGCAAACACAAAAGATCGGATTTTGAAGAATACTCACAATCGACTCTCCATGTGCAATGCAGAATTATCTTTCTTCAAAACAACATTCAACGAGGCATGTATTATTTGCATCTCTGTATAATTGTAATACCTAATATAAGTGTGCTTCTGCATAGAGACTAAAGCAAATTTTTGAGTCTTAAAAATTAATCAAAACAATATTCATCAGTACGCATGCCCTGTTACAGTAAAATACAATCAAATGATCTATTTCAGACCATCGGAATGAGGATGTATGATGAGTGGGTATTTGACAAAACAAGAATTCAACAGTATTGGGACGCACAGATCATGCAGACAACAAATATCATAAGGAATATCTACAACATTCGACTTGAGGCAGAACGGCGATACCTTGCACAACAGTATCAAATGAAAGTAGGTGTCAGTTTAATTTGAAAATATATGCATGTTGAAATAGCGTCAATAAGCTAAAAGATAACAACCTGCAAAAAGATCAAAATAAGAGATTTAAAAATCTGACAATCTGAGTATAATCGAGGACAATTTATAAAAAATAAAAACAAATTAGGAATTGAAACAGATACCATGAAGGAAAATGCATTTCTCCTGAACTAGTTTCGCTGTGTGCTCTTTGTTACTTTTAATGATATTGAATTTGCTCAGTGACTCGTTTTAGAGCTGGTTCAAAAGTACAAGCTCTTGCATAATGAAACAACTTGAGATTTAAATCCGATATGCAGATGATAATGATATTGCTTCACAAATAAGGAAATTTTAAAACCATTTTTTAATAGAGTATAGAGTATAGTGTAGGTTTTTCATCAATTTCTTTTTCTATTTTATCCGAATAGAGAGTACTAATGACATAAAATTATATTTTTGATTTTAGATGAACAAATCGGAAACAGAGATACAGAAGTTCAAGAAAAGTTATAAAGCACAACTGATACAATTGCAAGAAAAGGTTGCAAAAGTTCAAGAATTATGGAAGAAAATGGAATCTAATTGCTCATCTTCGAATAATCGACAAAGATGCACGAGACTGAGGGGAGAATTTCGCATCATGGTTGACATCGTTGTCACAAAGTAATTCATTTTCATGAAATTTGTTCTGTTGGCAAGTTTGATTTCTGAATTGCACTTTTTAAAGTTAATGTTAAACCAATTTCTTGTATAAAAATACAAAGCGATGTAAATTACTTCCCTTTGAATTATCAGATCTGGAATCATGCCATGATAAAGTGCTACTAATTATGTATTACTCTCATTCATAATCAATTTTATTAAAGTTAGAGGAAAAAGTTTTGCCAAATATTTTTTTCATTTATCATACAATCATATGAAAGGCATTTACATATTACCAGATAAATATGCAATTATGCTTTGTTAGATACTGTACGTAGAAATCAAGACTTTTAATCGGTTTTGTTGGTTTTGAACATAATGTAATACAATTTAGAAATTTCTTGAACAATAACAGATTGTAAACTAGTCACTCTTAACTTGTTTACAATTCATGCTCGTGCCATTGAATTCATTTTTGCCCGGCTTAGAGTATCAAATTAATCGTCGTTTCAATATAAAAAGATGGGGAGTATTTATTTCATAAAGAACAAGTAAAAATGGAAAAAAATCCTCTCCGAAGTGATTATGAATGTCAATTAGATTTTCTTTAGTAGTGTAACGGATTGACACTGTTTATTGTTTTTATTTCAGACTTGCAGATCTAAGGTAAGAATAAGAATCAAATATATTCTAAATGATGACATCTTAAAAAGGCGTACAGAAGAAAAAGCTTGATAAAAATTATCAAGCTAAAATATGGTAAAGCAAATTTTTATGTTTCAATGTAAGATTGATATATAAATCTTTCTCGAAATATTAATATTGAAATAAGTACACTTTTATATATATCTATAATTTTACAATGATCCAAATGTGCTGTCAGAAATAGAAATTTAAAATCTTCCTATTTTATGTACTTAGAGTTAAAAATACATGATAGTAAAGTTAGTACAAGTCCTTGCATCTACAGTTCTGTCAAGAAACCATATGAATATTATATCTGTAATGTGTATCTTACACGTAAAATGAACAAATCTTAATTGAGACAAAATACAATTTGATGTTCTTTGTCTTTTTTTGGGAGATAAAATGCAATTTTCATATGTAAAATGCGAAAGGGAAGGGAACAAAAACCATGAAGAATTTATTTCATGAGAAGACGAGTTCTTTTGTCCCTGTTTCTTTCTAATTAATTATAGATAACCTTCATTGATTATTTCCAAATTAAAAATAGGATAACAATATAGTTGTTGTTTAGTTATTTCGTGCAAAATAATATTGATTAAAAACAAAAATGATATTACGACTATTTTTGATTTTCTATAACAGAAATGTTAATGTTCAATATATTACACGTTTGACTAATTTCGCACTTATGACTCTTCTGATTTGATGTTCGATCATTTTATCCTGTTATTTGTTTTTTCAGTGAATCCAGCATGTTATATGCTGGCAGTAGAGAAATAAGCCATGAAAAGGAGAGTTTTGAAAAAGAAAGTTTGAGAACCAAAACAAGCACAAACGAAGAGTTTTACATGAAAAATGTCGAGTTTGAGGAGACTGGATCACTTGATTAACTAATTTTAACAATTTGCAAGATACATACATAAGCTACAGTACCGACCAGACCCAACCTGACACCAAAGCAGTCCCAGAAAGCAGACCCCGGGTCTGCTTTGGGACCGCTGTGGGACTGCTGTGGGACTGCTCTGGGACTGCTATGAAAAGCAGTCCCAGCAGTCCCAGCTGCCCCTGGGACTGCTTTCTGGGACTGCTTTGTTCACTCATGTGTGAAAAAGGTTCTGAGTGACATGATAGCTCCGCCCCCTTGTGTATTCTGAATTTGCAGGCTCCCTATTGTTTTGTTTACTTGCAGCAGAGAGGAGTTTAAACTGTTTAATAAGCAAGGATTTCTTACATTCTTTTAATAAGTAGAGATTATTAGAGTTAATTTATATTTTCAGGGACTGTATACTGACACAAATTAATGTGTTTTTAGATTAAAAAAAAATTAGGTTGATAAATAAGGAATTCATGAGAAAATTTTTATCCCTAAAAATAAACTACAAGTTTATGAGAAAAAAATAGCTATATTTGGGCCTTTTTTAATTATCTAATTTAAATTTTAATTTGTACTCAAAATTTGCATTGGTACATGTACTATTTAAAAATAATCATTACAATGAAATATGAAAATGCTACACATTTTATAAGAACCACGCTAAAAAAAGAGTACAGCTGTATTCCATGTAACCCTCAAATAAAACCCAACAATTTATTAAATGACCATGAAATAAAATTATGCTACCATTCTCCCGTAACATAAACTATGTGAATAATCATTGGGTAATTAATTAATTACCGGTAGCTTTAAATGAATAAACAAGTTATTAAAAGGGTATATTTATTTTTTTAAAAAATGAAAATACCGGGAATTGTGATTTATTTCTTATCTGTTTTGCTTGTGTTTACCTGGCCGATTAATGTTTATAAGATGGTATCAACACCCATTGTTTCAATCGCCTTTGGGCAGAAAAATCGATATATGTTATTTGGGTATTTGTATCGGTGTTACACATCATTGAACATGCTGGTAAACAATGACCCTAATTTCAATTTATTTAATGCAAAAAAAATGTGATAAATGAAATGTGTATAAATTTCTTTTGGGATTAATTAATTTTGAACATAATCTGAAGTTTCCATTCTGGTGATTTACAGATGTACACTCTAACATTTACAAATAAAACACTTAAAACTGAGTTTTATAGAACTAGGCATTAACGGTAATTAAATTGTCATGTCAGTAAAAATAATCATGATTGAAAAATAATACTTGGCAAAATTAACAAAATTTTTTTTAAAAAGCCCCAATAACTAAAAAAACTCTAACTTTAGAGTATCCCAATAGTCTAAATTGGTCACATAATGATAAGATCTATTAAAGCTTCTTCTGGTGGAAAATAATTAATTCACGTTTAATTTTCTGTATAAAAATAAATATGGGAACCAGTATCAATCACAGAGGAATTATTAATATACCCAAGAATTGTGATTAAATATCCATGTTCAGTGTAATTCATATATGTACATGTAAGTGTGAAAGCCTTCTTCCTCCAATAAATATTATAATTATTTCAATTTTTAGGCGCATACATGTTCTGTTTATAAATGACCTTCGCGTACATGTAAGGATTCCTGGCATACTACCCAGAATCAATTTCTACTGCCTTTTATAGTTCCATTGTTTATTGGAAATCTCATTTCTGAGTTAGCTCCGCCCATTAATTAATAAACCCCGCCCACTGGGACTGCTGGGACTGCTTTCTGGGACTGCTGGGACGGCTGTGGGACTGCTGTGGGACTGCTCTGGGACCGCTGTGGGACTGCTCTGGGACCGCTGTGGGACTGCTTTAGCAGTCTCAGAAAGCAGTCCCCGGGACTTGTGTCAGGTTGGGTCTGGTCGGTACTGTACTTTTATACTTTTACCATCAATGCATTAACATATATATGCGATTGAATCCAATTTGTAAACATCTTGTATCAATGTGAGTATCTTCGTGAAATAATCTTACAATATTTTACTTGGCGTGATTTACAATTTAGCAATCATGATACGGCTAGCTGACAGAGAAGTGAAAATTAGCCGTTATTTATGTCAAGTATTTTGTAAATAGATTTCGAGGAATAAAATGCTTAATCAGACATTCTAGAGAGCATAACGTAATAATTTGTCGACAATTTTGTGTGTTAATAATTGCCTCTCAATTACTATTAAGAACGTCAGTTTACATTGACTTATTCATAAATTGTATTTGCTGACATGGTCATTGAATCCACCATAGAATAAAGAAATTACAAAATGACTTTAATCAAAACTGCTGATATTCTTGTTTCATCAGTTTTTTTTTTTGAAAAACCTAAATCGTTTTGAAAATTTTTCAAACCTAAATCATGCACTTGCGTATCGAATCCACTGATATATGTGTATAAACTTGGTTTGGAGGTGATGCGTATCGAATCTACTGAAAGAAATTAACATGGTTTAACATGGTTTGCAGGCGATGAAGGTATATTGCTACAAAAGTAAGGGAAGTTGACTATTGAAAAAGTTAAAGTCATTTTGATTTTCATGATGCTTTGTACTTGGGTTATCATTTACGTCTTTTTCGGAACAAAATATCCGAATTTCAAAGGATATGACAGACCCTGTGGTATCCACAATTTCAAGCACATTGGGAGAAATGTGTCAACATATGAATAGAAATAACTATTGTTAATTGATCATTCGCTGTTGATATATCTAAATGTAGTGTAAAATGCCACAGCAATTTTTTTTTCTTTTTCTTATGTATAAAATCTGAAATAAATTCTGCTTCATATGAATTATGTGTTTACTAATAACTGGGCGCCATTGGTACGCATGAAAATTCTAAAAGATTGTTTTAATATCAGCTTCAAAGTATATACAGTATGATGCAATATATATTCGTACAAAATGGCGACCTGTTTACACGCGCGTTCCGACTTATATATTTATAGGGGAAATAAAGTAGTTTATAAATAGAGACTGGAATTTCGGTAGTTATTTTTAACATTTTTAATCATGTGACATCTCATGTGTCACGTGATTTTATTGTCGTCTGCTACGTAAACAAATCTGAACCGGCGAAAACAAGATGGGGCGAAAAGGGAAAGAATTAAGCAACCAGGTAAAAGAAATCGCTTGGAAATTATTACAAGAAGGAAAAACTATCAGTTACGTGTCAGAAACATTAGATGTGTCCAGGACTACAATCGCCAGTTTTAAGAAGCGTGTAGAGCGCCGAGGTTTCATAGAAAACATCCCGAGACGAGGCAGGAAACCTGTCGTGACAGCCCGAGACTATCGGAAGCTAGAAAGGCTCGTAAAAACCCACAGAAGAGAGAGTTTACAGGATATAACGGACAAATTCAATGAAAATAAAGAACGGCCAATATCTAAACGAACTGTACAATTACATCTGCATAAACATGGATTCGTGAGACGGGTTGCAAAGAAAAAGCTGGTAATTCGAGAGGTAAATAGGAGAAAGCGTTTATCTTGGTGTCGTGAAAAGAGAAAAGTCACTGTTGACAACTTTTGGAGAAAAGTTATATTCTCAGATGAATCCAAGATTGTTGTGGGACAAGACTCTCGTGTGTATATTTGGAGGAAACGGGGAGAAGGTTGGAGGCCGGATTTGGTAGAGGCGCGCAAAACAAAACCATGTTACCAAGTTATGATCTGGGGATGTATCACCTGGCATGGAGTCGGCACTATTTCTGAAGTGGATGGAAATATAAATGCTGATAAATATCAGACAATCTTAGACGACAATTTGTGGCCAGTTTTAGCCCGTCATTTTCCGACTGGAAATTATATTTTCCAAGACGACAATGCGCCTGTACACCGTGCACGTTCGACTCAGGATTATTTGCACAGGAACGGGATTACAACGATGAGCTGGCCAGCCCAGAGTCCAGACTTAAATATAATTGAAAATCTGTGGCTCCTTATTAAAAGAAAGCTTCAAGGAAGGATAGGGCGAATTGAGAACAAAGACGATCTCTTCCGTGAAATCCAGCGCATCTGGACTGACATTACACCAGAGTATGTCAAAAGCCTGTACAGGACTATTCCGAGACGGTTACTAAGTGTAATACGCTTAAAGGGTCACCTTACAAAGTACTAGGTAAGTTATTTTTGATTTATTTAATTTCTGAAATGGAATAAACGAGTTACAATGTTGACCTACTTTCGTCGCGAGTGTAAACACGCCGCCATTTTGTACGAATATATATTGCATCATACTGTATATGTGCACAATCGGAATATATAAGTACAAAAATTTTGCAAATGACCAATGATGAAATAAGTAAATTTATGACTTCCATTTAAATTGAAAAAAAAGCACGTTGACAGTAGCTCAGTCGGTAGAGCGCTCGCTTCATGGTCGGGAGGTCCTGAGTCGATAAGTCAATAAAAAATGGATAGCAACTGTTCCTTTGCCATGCGCTCGGATGAGACCTCAAAAACCGAGGTCCCGTTTCACGGCAGACGTTGGCATGATAAAATCACTCACTGTTCAATGACCTTGAGTGCCGAGTAAAAATCAAAATTTGAAGTCATTCGCTAGTATACGTTGACATCTCTACATGAGGGAAAAATTCTAGAATGGGACGTAAACAAATATAAAATCAAACAATGAATTGAAAAAGCAGCGGTCAATCATGTCTGTTATTGTTGATAAAAGAAACTTTAAGTGAAGGCAATATCTATGACAGAGATATAAAATAAGAAGTAAGTCTTGGCACAAACGTTATGTCAAGCACTTGCATTCATACATTAGATTTCCAAAGATGGTAATATCTATGAATTATTGATATGTTTACATGCTCTCATTGAATACAGATAACGAGCAGTTTTCAAGCTTAAAGTCTATTAAACAACACAAAAATGAAGCAGAGCAAACATGGACCTTCAAAACATTAAAAGTGGGTTTAGGTGCCATGGAGGACAGAGCATCCCCCGCCGATTGGTCACACTCGGTATATTATACCCTTTATTTTTTACGTCCATAATTACTGTCAATCTGATTTAAGCATTCACACAATTTTCGTTAAAAACAGATTGCTACGTATTTAGCCATCAGTTATAAACCTTTCTGAACTAAGTGTTAAAGCTAAGTGCTTCATGTCTTCCGTTAAGGTGATACCATATTGATTCATACCTTGCTAATTTTTGCCAACTTTATATGAGTAATTTATACAAGTTGCAGGAATTTTTTTCATGATTCCTTGGTTGGGAACATGTGCGTATTGGAAACACTCACCCTACAGCACAGTTTTTAACTGTACAAATATCATAGAAATACTATGTACTTCGACACTATTCAGGAGAATCTATGCTAAATTTCAGATTTTTATCAAATAAAATTCATAATTGTTACTATTTTGTGTTTCAAATGTCTAAAATGTTAAGTATACCAGAAATTGTCATATTGACAATTCAAAAGAATAAATTAATTATATAGGAAACACATGATATCCTGAACAATTGCCTGGTAAAATATAGTACTTTAATTGTTTTGAGAAGAAACTTGTTAAAATAGCAATATTTCAATGGTATATTGTTGGGAAAAATTATTTATTATTGAGGAAAGTGTTGTCTGACATTGGAGAAAAAAATTACACCATTAAAGTTACAAAATATTGATGTTTTGACAATTTCCGGACTTTTTGGGGCGTATGGTCGACACTACTGGTTATAGATAGTTTTCGATAGGCCTGAATTTAGCGAAAGTTACCTCCCGTTGGCCGCCATATTGGAGGTCGACTCAGTGATTTTCCCTCTTTGTCTTACCAAGTTTAAGAAAATATAGCAGAAATATTTGGTGGAAAATCTTTATCAAATAATTTTTTTTAAATAAAGGAGGATTCCAAAAATTTATATACTTCAGAAAAATAAAGATTTCTAATTCAAAATAGCAAATATAAAAATTTTTAATTGGTTGAACAATGAAGGAATATGAGAATTTGGACCTCCAGTATGGCGGCCAACAGGAAGTAACTCTTGGTCAATCAAAAACTATCTATTGTGACAAGCCACGTGCACGAATCTTTAAAATCAATTTCAAACACCAGAGGTATTTTTGACGGATCTATTTAGTTTTCAATTCTCTTTATGAACATCGTCCAAATTTCAATTATTCAAAATTGTTTCAATAAAAAATCGCTAAAATACATGTAAATATAACTTTCGGTGTCAACCAGTAGTGAGAGTTTTATGCCAAAAATAAAAGGCATTTAACCTATGATACCCCGAAGCTCACATTTCACAATCAAAAAGCTTATATTTCTTCCTGATTTTTTTTAAGATTATATTTTTAGACAATTTAAAAAAAATGAAAATCGGAGAAAAAAGTCAACGGAAATGATTTATCTTAAAGTTTAAAAAAATATCTGAAGAAATTATAAAAATGCATCATGCTTGGAAAAAAAATCATTTTAATAGGTCGGATAGTTTCCGAGAAAGAGCGTGTATTATCAAAAATGAATGATAATTATACTAGGAAACAGAAGAAAAACAGGTCTACGAAGAATGCAAAAAAAAAAAAAAAAAAAATCTAAAAGCCCCAATTATTAATCAGACATGGAGTTTTCCTTACTTGTTTTTGCTTACTTATTTGATTTTATTCATTTTAAACTAAAATTAATTAATTCTCTGATGATAAATGTTATCAGCATTTTATGAAATGATAAAATGTCAGATTGAGTGAAAAAGGACTTGTAACATTCCATTTCATTTATAATCAAGGTAGTCAAATTCAAATCATGAAGGAAATCTTCGGTTTTAACAAATGGGATCAGGTACTATGCAGGAGTGAGCATCACCTGCCGTTCGGTCCACCCGCCGAGATATCATTGTCATGATCTGGAAATACGGGAAAATCTATCATTACAGGCAATGTTAACACCTTAATGTAAGTGAAACGAACTCAATACCCTCCGATCACAATACTAGCACATTACTACTAGTTTATATTGATCACATGGGGTCTTTATTCATGATAATCACTCAACACTCATATCATAAAAACAGTAATATGATTATGAAGAGTGTACAGAAATGCCATACAAGAGAGCTCTTTACTATTATAATCCTCTATTATCCATTATGTTATATTATAAGATTTTACACATACATGTATGCATGATTGCATAAACGCATTTCGTCACGTCATAATACATTGACTAGCCAGAAAACCACGTAATTTCTGATAGACTAGCAATCTCTAGAGGTCTAAATGATGATTAATGCATTGTTAATTAAAAGTAAGCAGTTTCAGCTTTTCAGATATTCACAGGGCCAAAAAGCCACAAGTGAACCTTGTTCTTTAGATTTGAATGTGAAAAATATATTATAATTTATTACCTATAACTTTTGATGTTGCATACTGTTAATCATTAAACAATTCAGATATATTGAAATTTATCATGTAGACCGCATAAGAATAAAGATTTGCTTTTCAGGATAAAAATATTCGTCAATGGTTTCTGTTATGCATACACATTAAATAATTGTTCAGTTACAATATTTTTAATAAGAAGTTCCATGTGGTCGGCAGGGATTCTCACTCCTCAATGGCACCTTATTTCACCTATGATGTTTTAAAGAAACATTTTACTTTGCTCCTGATTTGTATTGTTCTGTTGTTTGAACAGACTTTTGAGCTAGAATACTGTTAGTTATATCCATTTATTTAATTTTGACCCTTTTTAATTCGCAGAGCCCCAAGAACATTTAATATACTAGTAAATCAAATTGTGGATTTGGAACATCCCCTTAAAATTTACACCATTGATAAAATTACACAACGATACGACATGCAATTCTGATCGAAAGATATGCATATAATTGAATTTCTTTTTAACATCAGAAAGATGGAATATTGTAACTATTAATTGTGATTTGATGTCGTCAAGTGAGCTTATTGATACCAATTGATATTCTAAACTAATTTATGTAAACGTTGCACTTCCATGAAATAAAAATCATTTTGAAATTTTGCACCTAATTATATAATCTTATTCGCTCAACATATCATGAATAAATTACGTTTTAGATATCCTTTGTGTTCATTTAAAGATAATAATGCGTGTTCCTTGACTGCGCTGTTTACAACCTTTCTGGTCTATTACGCATAAATATGTTCTTGCTTGTCATTGCTAAACATGTTTGTTCTTCTTACAATCATTATTATATTTTTTTTTAAATTGGCGCTGTCTTGACCTTGATCTATAAAAACACTGAAAAAAGTTCCCGGAAAAGACCATATGAAGATTTTCCGAGAATTTTGCACTAGTGCTAGTAAATGTGCACCACATGCATATATAAACCTTATTGAAATAGAGAGACAAAATAGACTGCATAATACGCATCAAATAAATATAGCTATTAGAAAGACCATGATGTCTTTAAAAATTTTGTTAGCGTATTGGATATTGTTGTTCTTTGTTTTCCGCTGCATTGTTCCTAGTTTAGGCGTCAGTTGTAAGGGGTTTGGACACCACAATCCTCCTGATGATTGGTAAATATGTACAGTGTACATTTTTCTATTTTTATGAATGAATTTACTTTATATATAAAAACATACTTGAGGAAATAACTGTCTATTTTTTGGTTTCTTGATGTAATCTTGTGTGATAATTTGTATAAACACCGAAGGCGTTTATGCATAAAATTATCGCGCAAGCCAATCGATTGATCATGGTCATGAAAAAAAAAAGACACTTATTCCTTATATTTACATGCTCTTGATTCCACAAATTCACGTGCTACAACGTCTGCTTCTTTGTCTATTTGACCCGCTCCTCACTGGATTTTTTCAACCGCGCCTATCAATGAACTAGTAGATTTTATGTAGAAAGAAAGTTATTTATTTATTATTTGTAATTTATCTCTGAGTAAGAATGGAAATGTAATAATAAAGATATATAAATTAAATACAGTTTCAACATAAATGTTACTTTCGCTGTAGTTTCATGTGCTATAATAATTATTTCGTTTTATCTTACAACTGAAATACGGTTTCAGGTTTGTTCTGTACAAACTTCCCAGGAAAATAAATGATGAAAATAGACTTGTTCAGAAGGGAAACGCCTTTATTTACATAACCTCAAAACAGCAGAAGTGGGCATTTTCTGAAATTGGAATTGATGACAAATTCACACCAATATACAATACACTCCAACAAATATATGTAAGTTGGTTAATAAACTGAAATGCATTTATCAAAGAAATGTGTTGTCTCATGCTTAACTATATATTACCAACATGAGAGTTTTTCTTGAAGAAAACATTTTTGACGAAGTGATAAGAGTATTTTTAAAATATGATATTTGTAGAAATAATTCAATGATGAATGTTTTCTAGTGTAAATTTCGCGAAGTGAATAGTAAGTGCCTGATATGCATATCGTCTTGTGGGATTGCCTTTGCATCTTACGTCAGTGGGCGAAGACTATTGAACTAAACATGGGAGCCCTCGTGTATTTTTAATCAAGTACACAAAGTAGACAACAATTTGTTGTATCTACACATTTACGTCATATATAAATGTAAATATAAGAAATCATTATCTAATTTATTTGGTATGCAAACTATATTAACGATCGATAGTTGTGATAATTTATGCATTACGGACTTTCCGTTATGCAGATTATCCCATTTCGAACTATAATTAATGCCCTGGGATGGTGAAACTTACTTGCACTTCAACTCTAATTATTTTAAAAACAAGTTCATTTATTTCAAAATTTGCAACCAAACCCCTTTTTGAATCAAAATTGAAACATACAATGTATTTTATTTTTGATCTGCTCAACAAAAAATTAAATACAAAATGAATATTTTGACTTAAGCTTAGGAAGTTTCATGTTCCTGGGATCTAATCTACTTCAACAAACTATATAGGGATTCCTTTAATAATTTGTACATGACACGAAGAATATACCTTTGGAAACAATATACAACCTTATTTCTTTAGTTAACACCTGCCAATTTCAAAATTCAACTTAAGGCAAATATATCTACCATGCATGATATTCAATTGTAAGAAACATCCTAAAGCAACATTTTTCTATAATCAAATTGAATGTTGAATTACTATTCTCAGGATCGGCCTAATAACTCAGGGTTAGACTTTGTAATGTATAATGACCAACCTCCAAATACGGAAAGAGTTGCAACCATAGCTGGACAAACAAAAGGTTTGGACGCTTTCTGTAAACAAGCTAAACAACCATCGCTCACTGTAAAATCACCAATTTTTTGATGGTTTAATTTTCGTGGTTTTCAATGAATGAAGAGACCCATGAATTTAAGTCCTCCATGAAAGGATTTTTTTCACAGATATAATTACACAATAATCCTTCATCCACGAAATCAAATCATCACAAACCTATATTTTTCCTCAAACCACGAAAATTTGACAGCAAGAAAATATGTGGTTTTAAGGTATTTCGCATTTATCTCAGATGATATGTTTATTTTATTATCTAACTTGTAAGGTATTAAATATAAAATGTGACTTTAATATGGAGATATTTTTTTATTATATCTTGAGAAAACTGATTAGCACATTGTATACTAGTATTACTGACATATTTTATCAACAAACATACCGCTCATGAACTTTTTTCCAGGCGCGTTTGCTTTTGATGAACTTGGAGGCTTTTGGATGATTACAAGTACCCCTCGTTTCCCGATGCCTTTCAATTCAAAATACACCTATGTTTTTCCCGAGAGGTATTTGGAGAGCAGTCAAATAATCATCTGCATATCACTGGACAAGGATCAGAAACAAACATTGAAAAGTAAGGAGACATATTAAATACTATTAATTAAACCAATTGACAAGCATAAATGAATCGTGATTACTTTGTCTCAAGTTAATCGGTTAAAAATATCACTGTTATCTTGCGTGCTTCTCCTAAAGATTTAAATACATGCACCTACATAACACCACATTGTAAATTAAAAAAAACAAAACAAAAATAATAATCAAATTTAGATTTTTTAATTCCTGTGTTGTAGAATTTATTGAATTTGAGAAAAATTTACACTTTAATCTGTAAAAATTCTATTGAAACCTGTAATTATCGAATGGTCGTTTTATGGTGTTATTGCAATTTTATATGACAATTTTTAAAACTGAATTGTTCAAAGTGTTTTCATAATAAATACATCTCAATTTTATTACAAAAGTACTTGTTTATATACATATATGTTTTCAACAATTTTTTAAAAAATTTTTAGTGGAAAATGCCTTCAATCCAGTATATTTCTTTAGCAAAGCATAAAGAGCGAAAAAGGTACAAAAAAATATGTAATATATACATGATAATTTTTTTTCTTTTCTATTTACAGTTCAGTATATGTGTATCTTGGGTTTTGCAATTGCCTATTATATCAGTTAAAATTAAGTTTTTGACACCCTAAATCGATTGCAAAATATCATTGAACAAAACTTTACTTTTGTGTTGGATTCCATCTTTATAAACTTTCAAATACTTTAATTATTATTTATACATTCATCCATGCATAATAACTGAAAAAATGTTTACATAAATTGTTAAATAAGAAATCAAAATTATAAGAGAGGGTTATTGAAAACTTATTCCTTTCTTTTGAAAGAAAGTAATGTCTTATTAAAGTATGTTCTTTAAGCATTCAAATAATGTCCCTCTAAATTAACTTCTTATAAAATTTGCTTTAAGTTTTTTTCGCTATGGATAACAGAATTACATTTGTAATTCAAACATGCGCATTTTTGATTATTAATCTGAACACTTATATATATGTATTTCTACATTTATTTTAGTTTTCATTCAAAAAATTAATATTGAATTTTAAGAGATATTATATCTTGAAATCTCAAAAAGCTCTAAATGAAATAAACTGAAATAACAAACAATATTCAAACAAAACAAAACAGGAGGAGAGCAAACATAGGAAAATCTATGGAATCCGCATAGGGCCAAACAGTTCACTATCGCACCATCGAGCATCAACTTAAAGGTCGATGGCGCGATAACGATGAAACGGTGGTGCGATAATGATGAAGCGATGATGCGATAGCGCGATGACGATGATGCTATGGCGCGATAATGCGATGACGATGGTGCGATAGCACGATTGAGCGATAGTGAATATCGCTTCATCGTCATCGTACTATCGCACTATCGTCATCGCACCATCGTGTCATCACTATCGCACCATCGTGTCATCGCATTATCGCACCATCGTCATCGCATTGTCGCGCCATAGCATCATCGTCATCGCACCATCACTTCATCGTTTTCGCACCATCGCTTTATCGTCATCGCATTATCTCTTCATCGCACTATCGACCTAAATCTCGATGGTGCGATGATGCGATAGTGAACTGCGTGGCCCTATCCGGATTCCATAAAAATCCGTGGTCAATTCAGTGTGTAAATAATGGACCAACAATTAGTATGAAAAACGTCAGTCAGCATTGGACTCAGTGATAAATTTATATTGTATTTGCTGACAACCCAATGTATCACCATAGAACTTACGAAATGATGATTGTAAAAGAGACTGCTGATAAAATAAAGTTTTATAGTACATTAAGAATTTAACAAACAATTTAATATATTTAACTTTCTTCAATTTCATGCCATAGTCCATGTATTATGAGTAGGGTCCCATATTATCCGATAGTGAAATATGCATTGTATTCATTCAATAAACACATTTTCATAATTATGTACTCGACAAATCAACATCATATCATTCCTACTTATTCTAAATTTTTCAGATGTTTTTGAGTTTGCCAGACGTAGATTAAGTCGCAAGGAAATGACAGTTCATACGACACCTAGAACTTCAGCTGAGTTAAAAAATAATCATGTAAATTTTCGTTTTTGTAATGGACATTAAGTCTGTGTATATACATATGTTAAACAGGGTGTGTTTGTGTGGATGTGTAGGTGTAAAGTTGTGAGAGGGTTTGCATTGGAGAGAGAGAGAGAGAGAGAGAGAGAGAGAGAGAGAGAGAGAGAGAGAGAGAGAGAGAGAGAGAGAGAGAGAGAGAATCTTAATTGTTAATTACTATTCATGAAAGTTGAGAGTCGTCATTTCAATTACGACAATAAACAGAAAACTAATTATTAAAAAATAATCATGTAAATTTTCGTTTTCTTAAAGACATATAACCTGTGTGTATACGTATGTTAAAGGGGAGGGTGGGTGTAGGTGTGTAGGAGTGAGAGGGTCTATGTGGGTGGATGGAGAGAGAGAGAGAGAGAGAGAGAGAGAGAGAGAGAGAGAGAGAGAGAGAGAATAAATAAAACATTACTTTTAAACTCTTACAGATGCGACAAGTAAGACTGTTAATGTTCATGCTTCCACTGCCAAATCCTCATGTATTACAATGGATGTCTTCATCTGACAGCTCAAAGTGGGCGGTGACAAAGGATTTCATATGCATTGGAGATCTGAACAGAAATGTAATTTTAAAATTGGCAAATAATCCATATCGTTAATGACTTAAGGGAAGGAAAACTACATTGATTGAGTAATCAATATTTTCAAAGTAATTTTGTAAATTTGTTTTGCTGATTAGAAACCTTTAATAAAAAACGATAATTAAATTATTAAAGGAGCAACAATTGAGCCGAGGAGGGGGACTTCTTTGTATGAGGAACCCCGAAGTTGCAGCCCAGTTTGAATCTCTGGTAGCATGTTCTTCTGTACTAAATGAAGATGTTTCGTATGTTGGTTATATGGTTGAAGCTGTAGCAGATATGTTCTTTTGTTGTTTCTGGTCACACAACTACTATGAAGATAGGTAATAATTTTGAGTATGCCTCAAGTTAACAGACAGGTATTGTTTTTTAATAAGTGATGGAATCACTGTCGAGTTTGTTTGGTACATGTATGTAAGGGCATCGAAGACGTGGGAAAATCAATTTAAGAAATCATGCAAATCCCGTTACAACTGTTTTGATGTCGTTGGCATAGCCAAAAAACTAGACAGTAGTGATATCTAATATCAAGAAATACAGTATCTAGTATTCTAGTTGTTTTCTTTGCTAACTCTTTGAGAGTTAGGTGAATTGATTTCTTGATAATCACACCTGAAAGAAAATTTCTCCAGGTGAACGGTCAGGAATTTTATACACATGAAAATCTCATGCAGCTTTGTGTACTTTTTCTGACGTCAGTTGGCAAGGACTCTTAGAAATACCCTAACAGGCCTTTTGTATTCTATATTTAATATTTTTTTCTCATATAGTAGTATATATTAGAAATATATTTTTGTCTATACCATTGTCGATGGATTGTTTAAGAAATCACTGTCTAGTTTGTTTGGTATTCCAGAGCATTAACGATAGTTGGATATAAATAGCGTGCTAAGCCTGTGTGCATAAATTATCCCACAATTCCAACTGTCGATGATGTCCCTGGCATAGCCAACGAACTTGACAGAGATTCCTTATAATTAATTTGAACATATTTTATTGACAATATTTTAATGTGTCAAAACGATT